GTTATCATCATCACCTGACCAAGTTTAGGATTAAACTACAGTTATTCTCAGAGATTCATCCTTCTATTTTACAAGACAAATAAACATATTAAATGAGGATATGATAGGAAGAGCCACCTCTGCATCTTTCAAACCCTTGTTGTTGTTATCTCAGACTCACAGTGACCCTACGTACACCAGAACGAAACACTGCCCGGTCCTGTGCCAGCCCCACGATCCTTGCCATACCTGAGACCGTCATTGAAGCCACTGTGTCAATCCATCTCATGGAGCAGCTTCCCCTCTTTCGTTGACCCTCCACTTTACCAAGCATGACATCCTTCTCCAGGGAATGATCCCTTCTGACAACATGACCAAAGTAACTGAGATGAAGTCTAGTCATTCTCACTTCCAAGGATCATTCTGGCTGCACTTCTTCCAGGAAAGATTTGTTAGTTTTTTAGCAGTCCATGGTACTTTCAGTATGCTTGACATTGCTCTTAATCTTTGAAATTCCTCTAGGGAATACAGAATTGCTTTTGGTGCACTCTTTTGGAAGGAGGAGGTAAGTTTCAGGGTCTTCCACTGGGCCATTCTTGCCCAAATAACCTTTCTCTCACAGCTCAGGAATTGAGGCAGACTCTGTCAATTGTTACACTATTCCCTCTGTACATCCTGAGACTAAGAAACGACCACAGGATGAGTCCACAATCCCACTGGATTACTGTATGACAGACAGGGGTCATACTCCATTTCTAATCTGACATTGATAAGTTCTCACTCTGATAGTGACCACAGTGGTATTTTGGGTCTTTAGAAACTAGCCTCTGTGCAAAATCAGTTTCTAATAATGCCAGAATGTTTGGGGATGCCCCTTTTCCCCAGCACAAGAGTGCTTGTAAATGGCTACAGATCCTTATGGGGGAGACCTGGAGGAAGATTCATTGTGTACAACTTAAGGCCACATTGCCACCCAGTCGGAGCACACCATATCTGTGAAATGGCTTAGCTCTGGGAATTGGGGAAAGACTGAGAGTTCCTACTAGGACAAGGATACTTCTCACACAACACAACTGACTTTTTTCCAAGAGTCCCAGTGTCAATAGAGGTGCTGGGAAGTCAAGAAGAAGACATTTCTTTACTTCTGCTAATCTAAGTTTACTTCTTTAATCCAATTTTTTACTCCTTCAACTTACTTATTTTTAAAATATTTTGTTGAGTTTTTAGTGAAAGTTTATACAGCAAATTGGATTCCCGCTTAACAATTTTTGTATATAATGTTCAATGACATTGGTTACACTTTCCACATTTTGTCAACTTTCTCCATATTTCTATTCTGAATATGTTCCACTGCTCCTTCAATTTAGATAGGTTCAATCCACCTGGTACCAACTCACACATACAGAAGGCTTATTTGTATCATAGTTCCTCCATGTCAAGTAACTTGCCTGAACTGATGGGACAGCCATCCCTTGATAAGCACTCATTCACCCATTCAGCACTGTTGACCAGATCACGGTGATCCCCATGCCCAAAGAGGAGCTTAGAGAGGTGGTGCCATTTCTGCTCCCTCTGGGTATTTCCTCATGAATGGAAAAATACTGGGTTGAGGCTGAGAAAATATTTTTCTTCAGTCTCAGGGCTCCTAAAGCTCCTAAAAATGTTTTAGAAGAAGTTGTTGTTGTTGTTATGTGCCGTCAAGTCGGACCTGACTCATAACGACCCCTCCTTGGGTTTCCGAGGTGGTATCACTACGAAAGTAGATTGCCCAACATTCCTTCTGAGGAGTGGCTGGTGGGTTTGAACCACCAGCCTTCTGGTTAGCAGTCAAGTGCCTTAGTAGTTTTGTGTATTAAAAAAAAAAAAAAAAAAAAAAAACTTTTTTAAAGTAAATGGAATCATGTACTTTTTGGTCTAGCTTCTCTCTCTTTCTCTCTATTGCTTTGTGAAAAGAGTTCATTCCTCTTCAACTGTATTTTATTATATGAATTTGTGATCATGTATTTATCCATCCTGCTGTCGATGGACATTCAGGCTGTTTCCAGTTTGAGATTATTGTATATCATGCCGTTATAAATGTCTTGTATATGTCAGTGTCTCCTATTTCTCTAAGCCGGTGGTTCTCCAAGTGTGGTCCCTGGACCAGCAGCATCAGTATCAGCTGTGAATTTCTTAGAAATAGAAATTCTCAGATCCCACTCCAGACCTACTGAATCAGAACTGAAGGTGAGTCCCAATAATCTAATTTTAATAAGCTTTCCAGGTGATTCTAATGCATATTAACATTTGAGAATCACTCTTCTAGCTATACACTGAAGAGTGGAGCTGGTGAGTCACAGGATATATGTGTGTTCTACTTTAATGGCTAATATCAAGCTGTTTTCCAAATTGATTACACATAAGGAAAGCTGCCATTGCATCTGTGGTTCCACCTTGACTTTCCTCGCTTCAGGAGTGGTCACTGAAGGGAAAACAAGACAGAAACCAGTCTTCCATTGTCACCAAGTTGCTATATTTTCCTCACCCCCATTCTCTTTTATGGTCTCACTTCTCTTACTTCAGGAGCTCTGGTGGCTTGCTGGTTAAAACATTTGAATGCTAACCAAAACAGCAGTGTTTCTAACTCACCAGCTGATCTGCAGCAGAAAGATAAGGCAGTCTGCATCCATAAAGATTTATAGCCTTGGGAACCTATAGGACAGTTCTACTCTGCCCTATAAGGTTGCTATGAATTGGAATCAACTCAATGACAGTGGGTTTCTCTTACTTCAGAGGCTCTGGCCAGGCCCAAACCCCACCCAGCCTGCCAGAAGACAAGCTCACAGAAAGTTTGCATGGAAGTTCACTTTAAAGATCCAGATTTGGGTCTTCCTAGAAATGCCCCTTTGAAGGGCAAAGGGGAGGGTGGTGGGGCAGAGAGGCTTCTCTTGTGTTGTCAATCAGCTACAAGGTTGTGGCCCACAGTGGGGAATGGTTCAAAGAAGCCCTAAAACAAGAAGAAATAAGGGATTTGGAATCAGTTTGTGGGGAGGCAGCCCTGCCTTCACCTACTCTCCATCCCAAAATACAAAGCAGGCTGGATGCAGCCTGATTTGAGTAAGCCTTAAACACAGTGACTCAGCCCACCAATTGCACGCCTGTCTTCCTGGCTCCCACATGTAATTCTCCTCCTTCCTGTGATTTTCCTTTCGGTATGGGGCTGGAGAGGGAGCTCTGGTAGCGTAGTGGCTAAGGCATTTGACTGCTAACCAGAAGCCTGGCGGTTCAAACCCACCAGCCACTCCTCGGAAGGAAGGTTGGGCAATCCTACTTCCGTAGTGATACTGCCTCGGAAACCCAAGGAGGGGTCGCTATGAGTCAGGGCTGACTCGACGGCACATAACAACAACAACATGGGGCTGGAGAAGAATGGCAACTCTTTGATTGCGTTCTTGGAAACACCATGGCAACCAGTCCCCACAGGTGGGTCTGTCACTTAGCTCTGATTATGTTGCCCCAGCAACCAATCCAGGCTCAAGAAGCCCAGCTGCCATATGACAGGAGTGGAGACCAGTTTCCTTGGAAAGCATGAGAGGCTGGACTGTCCCCCACCCCTACCCCGTGAGGTGCAGGCTTGCCTCTGGATAAAATGAACAGCCAGCTCAGGAGCTCAGCTCCACTGCCACCACCCCAGTCCAAGTGACCTCAGCCTCTTGTGGACCAGGGTCATCTCCTTACAGGTTTATCAGTTTCCTCACTCTTGTTCTTCTCACAATCCAGGTGTCAGCATCACTAGGGTGGCCTTTTAAAATTGTATATCATATTATGACACTCTCTTTCTTAAACTTTGCTAGCTGACTTTCCACTGCACTTAGAGTAAAATCCAAGCCACTGGTATCTATGAGCCCCTGTGTGGTCAGTTCTGAGCCAACTTCTCCAACTTAACTTTTACCACTGGCTCCTCTGCCTGTTCCTCTAACGTGCCATGGTACTCTCATCTCAGGGAATTGGCCGTTGCAATGCTTTCTGCCTGGGATGCCTTTTCTATATATATTCCTCTGGCTGCCACTGTCTTGTCATTTAGGTCTTAGTCCAAACGTCACTTCTTCAGAGAGGCCTTCCTCAGTGTGGAAGAGTATGATATTTGTCATAGCCCAGCCCCCACTAGAGTTCTTGAGAGGAAGGACAGGGGCTGTGGAAGGGAAAAGATTGGAAATCAGTAGACTTGGGTCTAGTCTTGGCTCCACCATGAACCTGCATGCAGCCTTGAGTAAGGCCGTTGACCAGCATGGGTCCCAATTTATCAACTATGAAGATAGATAGATGTACCAGGTGAGTGGTTTTTAATTTGGATTCTGAAGAATTCAAGGATTCCAAATTTCTGTCTCAGAGCCTTGGCCCGGTGACATCCATGGCACAGAACAGAGCAAGGGGAGGCTTTAGTGAGAGGAACTCTGGGCTACCTTCTCCTGTTTCTCCAAAGAGCTTTGCTATCACCTATTATGGGAGCTCTGGTAGCATAGTGGCTAAGGCACTTGACTGCTAACCAGAAGGCTGGCAGTTCAAACCTACCAGCCACTCCTCGGAAGGAAGATGGGGCAATCTACTTCCATAGTGATACTGCCTCGGAAACCCAAGGAGGGGTCATTATGAGTCAGGTCCCACTTGATGGCACATAACAACAACAACAACATCACCTATTATACACAAGGGAGATCTGGTGGTGTAGTGCCTAAGGCATTTGAGTTTTAACCAGAAGACTGGTGGTTCAAACCCACCAGCCATTCCTCGGAAGGAAGATTTGGCAATCTACTTCTGCCTGACTCAATGGCAGTGAGTTTGGTTTGGGTTTGGTATTATATACAAGGGAGTATAGTGGGGAAGTGGGGAATGGGGCCACACGTAAGATTCTCTTAGCAAAAAGGAGGACCTTTTATTTAATTTTGAAAACTCTGCAGTTGCTTCAAACTCAATGCCTATGCATCATGTTATAGATAATTTCTTCCTTAGTAGCTCTCAGCTCCAACATCATGTGCTCCCCCTCACTCTGATCTCTCATATGGATTTCCACAGGTGGTCTGTGAGAAAGCCAGGAAAGTCAGGGCAGCCTTCAACTGGGAAAGGACAGCTTTATTCTTCAGCTTATCTGTTCACATCCCAATACCCATTCCTTCCTTCAAACCCACCACTTCCTTTTAAGCAGGCCCTTGATGAGTCCACCCTCCCCAGAAAAGCCCAGCCCCTCACCTTGTTGGGGTTGCCCACCTCTTGTTTGAGGACCTTCAAAACTACTTTGGAGGTAAAGCACTGGTCCGTGTTCACCTTGGCCATTGGGCTCTGTGAAGATGGAGCCAGGAGTGAAGTAGGAGGCAGAAAAGAATGACAGTGTCTCAGAGGGAAAGAGATGGAATCTAAAGGTAGGGATTCAAAATTTCTGAGAAGAAACACAAGTCTCACCTTGGGGAATAAGAGTCGAAGTTTCTCCTCTTGCTTGCCTCTAGAAGAGACAGGGATGACAAACAGGACCCGACTTGGCTGATGTCCGTTTCCCCTCACTTTGCAAATATTGCTAGTGATCATGGACTTGTCCCCTGTTGATCTCACGAAGGACCTCTGACCCACCTCCTAGTGCTCCTGCCAGCAGTTTTCATATCCATTCCCTTTCCTCTTCCGTCTGCCCACCAGGCAGCATTACGGACCACAGGTCTCATACACCTCACCACAGTGGTTTTGGTGGGAAAGGCTTCTTTTCCATCCCTCAGACAGGGATCTGGGGGGTGGAATCTGGCATGTTCTCCATCTTTTGGGTCATCACATCCTGGGTGATGTCATCCTTCCAGAACAGTTCTTCAAGGTGAAAGGAAGGGGTGGATTGACAGCTGGGATATTCTGATTGGCCCACTCCAGGGACCAGAGTCAGATCAATACTTCCCTTATGTCTAAAGTGCACATATTGTGGAGACAAGATGGTGTATAAAAGTTGCTTATCACAGTAGCTGGCATGTAGTAAATATTCTATTAGAATTATGATAGTATTCTCTTTGATGATTCATTTGATGCTATTGTGAAGAATTAAATGAGGTCAGGGGTGTGAAAAGTGCTTGGAAAACCTAAAACAGAGGTCCTCAAATGTTAATGTGTGTCAGAGTCTCCTACAGAGAAATATTGGCATACAGGCTACTGTTCCAACACCAGAGTTTCTGGCTCAGAGGTCTGGGTGGTGGTTGTTGTTCATTGCACAAGTCAGATGTGTGCAGATGGAACTGCTCCTGTGGGTTTTCAAGGTTGTGACATTCGGGAAGCAGATTGCCAGGCCTGTCTTCCAAGGTGCCTCTGGGTAGGTTTGAACCACCAACTTTTTGGTTGGTAGTCCAGCGCTTAACCATTTGCAGTTTAAGAATTTGCATTTCTAAGAAGTTCTACGGTGATGCTGATGCTGTGGTCTTGGCATGCTCTTTAAGAACCACTGCTCTAAGCCATTACACACACATTAGACCTTATGATTATTGATAATATGAATTCAAGACATATCTCTTGTCTGACTGTCTCCCAATCATGAAACTCCATTCTAAGGAAGAGTCAGCCACCTGTCCCCAAGGGACTTTCCACCTGCTTTTGGTCCTCCTTCTATTTGTAATATAATTTGCCCTGCTGTCACCCCAAGTCTGATGTGTGTGTTGTGTGTGTGTGTGTCTCTTGGCTTAGAACCCCAGGCTGTCTGCCAATGGGAAAAAGTGCAGAATGCAGACAGTGCCGGAAGTTGGCAAGGTCCCCAAAATCTGGGTGCTGATTTCTTTCAGGGTCTCCTTCTAGAAGGCTCTGCTGGCTCTTCAGGGTGTTCAAATGCAAGGAGCCCACCTACCCAGATCCACCCCTACTCCCATCTTGTCCCTCCTCCATGAGGAGAGTATGGTAGTTACGTTTGTGTGTCAACTTGCCTGGGCCTGGTTGAGTGGCAGGGCAGCTGGATGTAGTATACCCCATGACTCATCATGGGGATGAGTAATCCATGGTAATCAACTCCATGGTGCAATCTACTGTGAGCAGCTGAGTAGCTGCCTTAGGGATGTGGTCTGCTTCCTGTATATAAGGAGAAGCCTTGGGGAACGGTCTCCAGGTTATGGCATGCTTGAACCCTGCATGTAGCCATGTCATTGCTCAGCAGCCTGCCATGCTTTGTCAACTTTGGGACTTTCAGTGGACTTGAATTAATGGCTTGGCGTGTGGTTTGGTAACATTAGGACTGTGCCTTTTCACTTGTCAAACTTGGGCTTGTCAGACTCAGCAGCCAGCAGCTGTCTGAGCAAAGAAAAGCCTCTAGCTTCAGTGGCCCAGGAGCAGGAGGCAGAGCTGAAGCCCAAGGCTGAGGGGCTTTCACCCAGCCCCTAGAGCCTAGCACTTTGAACTCAGACTTAAAGCCTCCAGACTGTAAGAGAATAAACTCCTGCTTGTTAAAGCCATCCCATTTGTGGTATATTCTTGTCAGAGAAGTACTAGGTAACCAAAATAATCAGTGTGACAGAGAAGTTCAGGTCGAGACATTTGGGGAAGCAGGAAATCTGTTCTCAGGTCAGAGAGCCCTTCACAGCTGACCTGGCCCCAGTCTCTCTTCTCCAACTCCTCCAGACTTACCTTGGGGAAAAATCTGCTAGAATACACCTTGCAAGGGCCAGAAGATGGGGGCAATAAATCCTTGGAGAGGTCAGAGATGTCCCGGTCCCACTTGGTCCTGTCCATCTAAGCACACAATATTGATGTCAGCAAGGAGTTTGGCCAAAAGCCTTCCAAAGTCCCAGCTGAAGAAAAGCAGATTCCCTTCCCTGTCACTTGTGGATTCCTTGGTCTCTGTCCCCACACCAGGCCCTCTCTCCCCTTCAAGTCTTCCTTCTCATTTTTCCCCTCCCCTGTTACAACCTGCCTCATTATTCAGCTCCTGGGCCTTATTTACACTTGGTACCAACTTCAGGTAAGTTGAAGCTTACAAGCAAAGAGCACCTATGGAGGTTCAGGTGAGCAGAGGCTCAGAGAGATTATACACGGGATGGACAATCATGTAGTCAGGTGGGGTATGGGGAAGCAAGTGAGCTGCATATTGGGAATAATTTGAATCCTGGAGGAGATTAGGGAAGAGGTCTGGAATCCTTAGATGAAGAAATATTAGGATGTATAAGGTTGGAGTGTCTGAGTCCTTTTCCTGAAAGCCACAGTTTGCCCAGCTGTGCGTTAGGGAGAGGTGGGGGAGGTGAATAACCCCTACTGCTATACACACCTTCCTTCTTCAGGTAGATAAGGTAGAGTTGGGGGACAGTCCATTCTCTCCTATGGTGGAATTCCTGTGAGCCATTACGGAGCAGTATTAAGAAATAGGACTTTTTTTTTTTCCCAACTAAATGGATCCCAACAACCATTACCGGGCTTCTGGAAGGAGCAGAACCTCCCGAATCCTACCAAGAAGTAAGAGTTTGGAGGAGGAGAAACCATTCTGTGAGGTGGCACTCCCAGAGCTGATAGGAGTGAGTGTGGTGCACTGGCTGTAGAGCGGCTGGCGCTCTCCGCGGTGCTGAGAAGCGGCCGAAGCCTGGCGGGGGTGGGGAGCCCTCTGGGAGGTGAAGAGAGCCAGACATCTCCACCTGGCAGGACCATACTCTCCCTCCCCTCAGCCGCCAGGAATTCTGGAGTCTGCGCAGTCTGTCTCGGATCCTGCGGCAGCGCTAGATCTACCTAAGGTGGTACAGGTGGGAGGGGAGGAAGGATGGGCCCCTTTTCCCTCCACCCCCTTCTGCCCGAGCCTGGAAATTGCAGGCCCGAGGCTCTGGGTCTTTCGGTCCAACCTTGTCCTGGGAGCCAAGATCGGTATCAGCGGCCAGTCCCCTGCCAATCCCTCAGCGGGGTCGTCTCTCCCTGGCTCCTTGACGCACCTCGCTTCTCCTGTGTCACCGTAAGCCGGTTACCTCCCTCTGATCATTTGTCTTCCCTTGCCCCTTGGAAACCCCCAAGCCCTGACTCTGCGTCTCTTAGGCCCAGACCCTACAAGTTGAACCCCACCTGGACCCTAAGGCTCTTCGTCCAAGATGCTCTCTGCATTTCTTCCTTCTCTCTCCTCAAACACATTTTTGTTTTCTCCAGAGTTTCCTACCTTCAGGGCCGCTCCCACTTCTCTCAGGATCTCTCCCTGGCCCTGAGTCCATGCCCCCAGGTTTCCTCCTGACCGTTGGCACTAATGCCGCTGCAGCCCCCTGGGCGCTTGTTCAGCAGCAGGAAACAAAGAAGCCAGAGCCCCCCCGGGGCCCCCAGGCCACCGTGAACGCTGCATCGTCTAGGCTCCGCGCGCTAGCTCCACGGTCTAAGGCGCCACAAGGGTAGCAATATTGGCCGGAGATGCTGAGGATGGGCTGTCGCTTCCCACCAGATAGGGAGGCGGGATCTCCATAACTCTCCCTTGGCAGCTGGGCCAATCACAGACGGGTAGTGACAGTAAGCGCACCCCTGGCTCTTTAACATCACCAGCGTCCCGCACAGCTTTAGAGTCCCGCCCCTGCTGGCACCTACCTAATCCCCATTCCTTCTTCTCCGGGCCTAGAATTCCCACTTGGCCTGCTCCTTTCTTGACATAAGGCCCATCCCAAGGACCTCCAAGTCCACCACCCAAGGTTGGCGACATGGATTGCGGTTGTGGGAGCTGGGAGTCTGGGTAAAGATACCTCTCTGGAAGGCTGAACCCTAAGGTGAGACAGAAGTGTCTAAGGTGTGTGTGTAAATTGTATCCACCTCACGTATTTGTTGTGAGGGTCACACAGGAACAGTGATTAAACAGACACTCAATAAACTTAGTCTATTTTTTAACTTTTATCCTTAATGCTCCTTTTACGGTCCCTGGGTGACACAAGGAGTTCTGCTGGTTAGTGGTTAAGGCATTTGGCTACCAGCCTGAAGGTCAAACCCACCAGCCACCCCGCAGAAGAGAGATGGAGCAGTTTGCTTCCGTAGAGATTCACAGCCTTGGAAACCCAGTGGGGGTGGCTATGAGTTGGAATGGACTCAGTGGCAGTGAGTTTGATTTTCTGGAGTTTGGGATGACACAAGCAGGTAAGAACTAATTTACTAGCTGAAAGGTTGGTGGTTTGAACCCTCCCAGAGGCACCTTGGAAGACAGGCATGGCAACATGCTTCCAGAAGGTCAGGGCCTTGAAGTCCCTATGGAGAAGTTTGATTCTTCACATATAGGGTCTCCATGAGTCAGAATCAAAGTGAAAGCAACTAACAATAGTAACGATGCTTCCTTTACCCTCATTCCCCTAAAACTCTTCAGCAATCATAGGGTTTCCACCTTGAAGTGGATTACACAGCCATCAGCTTCTCTCCACACCTCCCTGTCCTGTACTCTTTAACAGAGCTAATACAATAACAAACTAATCTGCTTCCACTAGGCACTTGAGAACCATCTGCCAAAAGGCTAGCGTGTGAGCTTTCTAAACCCCAAATAAGGCATTTCAATATTTTTTAAATTAAATATTATGAAAAAAAATATTTAAAAAGAGTCTAATGAACTATTACCCAGACTTAATTAACATTTTACATTTAATTTTAACACTTAACATCTTTTTCTTTTTCTTTTTTCTCCTTAAATGAACATTGTTCTCTTTAATCTCAGCTGTGTCTTTTGTTCAACAATTTCTTTCTTTCTTTTTTTTTTTTTTTAATTGTGATTTGGGTGAAGGTTTACAGAGCAAATTCACTTTCCATACAGCGGTTCACATATACTTTGTCTCATGACATTGACCACAGTTTACCACAATGCAACAGCTCCCCTCTCACTTCCTCCCTATAGTTACTTCTTCCCAGTGTCCAACCCTCCGTGCACTCCTGCCCCCTGAGCTGTCTCCCTGTGCATAAGCAGCCCTTCTTTCTCCCATGATTGTTCTCTCCAAGGAGTGTATCTACTTGAGGTAAATGTTCAACTCATATGCCTGTCTTTTGTTTGGCTGGAAGCCACAGGTGTGGGTTCAATTCCAGACCTGAAGGGCAGCTAGAGGCCCTAGTCTCAGTGGTTCCACCAGGCCCTATTGGACCAGCAAACCTGGTCCCCCCTGTTTTTGTTTTTTGTTTCTCCAAATGATTTTGAGTTTTGTTCCACATTGTTCTCCCTGTCTATCAGGGATCTACTACATAGATCCCCTTCCAAGTGGATGACAGTGGTAGCTGGGCACCATCTAGTTCTTCTGGTCTCATAGTCATATAGGCTGCAGATTGGATAGTGTACCAGTCACTAGGACTAATTGTTTCTATGAATTTTGGTTTTCTTCATTCTTCTTTGCTCTGGACGAGGAGAGACCCATTGCTGCGTGTAGATGGCAGCTTGCTAGCTTTTAAGATCCCAGTCGCTACTTGCCAAAGTAGGAGGTGGAACAATGTTTTGCATAGTATAACATCTTAAACATTTTAAAAGTAATTTACAGACATCATGACATTTTACTCCCAAATAAACCAGTATGTGTCTCTTAGAATTAGGGATAGTTTGCTATGTAACCACAACATCATTATTATACCTGTGGCATCCTGAATAATGGCCCCCCAAAGGTGCCCACATTCTGATCCCTAGAACCTGTGAATATGTTACCTTACATGGCAAAAGGGACTTTGCTGATATGTTTTAGTCAAAGATCTTGGAATGGGAAGATTATCCTGGATGGGGAAATTATCTGGGTGGGCCCAATGTGATGACAAGGATCCTCATAAGAAGGAGATCAGAATCGGTATAGAAGATGTGATGTCAACTTTCAAGGAAGATTTGAGGAAGGAGCCATGAGCCAAAGAATGCAGGTAACCTCTTGTTGTTGTGTATGCCTTGGAGTGGATTCCAACTCAAAGTGACCTCATGTGACAGAGTGGAACTGTCCCCATAGACTTCCTAGGCTGAACTCTTTACAGGAATGGATCACCAGGTCTATCTCCTGCAGAGCAGTTGGTGGGTTCAAATCACAGACTTTTAAGTTAGCAGTCAGGTGCTTAACCTCTGTGCCACCACAGCTCCTTAGGTGACCTCTAAAAACCAAAACCAAACTCACTGCCATCAAATCAATTCCAATTCATAGCAATCCCCATTGGGTTTCCAAGGCAGTAAATCTTTATAGAAGTAGATTGCCCCATCTTCCTTCCGTGGACTGGCTGGTAGTTTGAACCACCAACCCTCTGGTTAGCAGTCAAATACCTTTAGGCACTGCAACATCAGAACTCCTCTAGAGGCTGAAAAAAGCAAGGGAAAGGATTGTTCGTCTGAAGCCTCCAGAATACATGTGGCAGTGCCTACACGCTGATTTTAGAATTCTGACTTCCAGAACTGAAAGATATGTGTAATGTATATTTGTGTTGTTTTAAGCCACCAAGTTTCAGGCAACTTATTACAGTAGCAATTGGAAACTACAACACCTAACAAAATTTACAACCATTTCCTAATTTATAATAATTCTCTAATACTTCTGGATATACATCCTTCATCAGCAAATGGTTTGCTTCATGTGTGATTTTATTATCATTTGGATAAAATATTATCTTTTTCTTTTCTTGTGATTTCTTTGACCTATGGACTATTTAGAAAGATGTTGCTACTGGAGATGTTCTAGTAACAGTTTTACTATTTATTTATATTTTAATTTCAGTGTCCTTTGAGAACATGTTCTATATCACTTCAATTATCTTGATTTTATTGATTTTTGTTTTATAACCCAGCATATACCCTATATTTGTGAATGTTCTACAAATACATATATGAAAAAAGATATATTCTCTAATTGTTGATGTTGTTGTTGTTGTTGTTGTTATTTGCCGTCGAGTCGGCCCCGACTCATAGCGACCCCTCCTTGGGTTTCC